CCCAAGTATATCTCGAAGAAATCCCGAATAGTCAAAAGAATGAAAGGTTTACCAGACATTTCTGGTATTCTGAGGTGCGGCTGACATGGTAAAAGCTCAAATCAGCCTAAGACGTACTGCACGTTAGATGCATCTCGTCAATAAAAAAGGTGCAAATCGGATTATTTGCTCTGCTTAAAATGTAGAAACTAAATTTGGAAGCACACCATATAATTTCTGCAACTTAGTGTTGAGTTTCCGAGTTCTGGTTTGGGATCATCTTCGAACTCTCACTAAAGATCGGGTATTTCCCTGGACCATCCCTCTTACCAAGATCAGGTCTTCTAGCTTGGGGATTAGCCATATGTAAACCTCTAGGATCTGAAGCACTAGAGTTCCTTCCAGAATTAGACTGCTCACTTTTCTTGTACCTATTTTCTGTAGCAACATTGCTCTCCTTGCTAGGAGTCCTGTCTGCTGGTGCAGAGCTAAAAATACCAAAACCAGAGGATGGAGAACTTCGAACACCAGAATGAGAAGGATGTTGCTCCGGAGACCCATTAAGAGGAGACTTCCTCAGCAACTGAGATTCACTGTCTCTAGTATGTGACAAGCTACTCCTATCCAGTGGCAGTTGCCTTCCTATATCAGATAGGCTGTCCGCTGTCATTGTGCTCCTTGAACTTGGGGTGCTACTAGGAGCTGATTTGGTAGGTATGGATGAGTTTCTAGGGTCTCTTCGATACCTATTTTCTTCCCCTGATGGAGCCTGCACTGTGTTCCCTGATTCTCTTCTGAAACTACTTTGCCCTCCAAATGAAGGCCCAGCTGCTCCAGTTCGAGAAGAATCACGTGCAAAATCTGAAGAAACATTTGTAAAACTTGGAGTTCTAGCACCTACATTTTCGCCCTCCACAAAATCAAAAACCTTCCTGGAATCGCCTTTTGCACCAGATACTCTCCAGTCTGATCTCTTGTCATCCACATCTTCATCAGTCATTTCTTCTTGACAGCTATCATCATCACTTTCAACACTAGATTCAGTACCATCACAGTTTTCATCCAATTGTAAAGAACTTTGAGATGCTGCATCCTCTTCAAAACTGGCAGTTTTGCATTCTTTTGACACTTTCTTTCCTGAACCCTTCTTTGATGGACCGAACTTAACATGCCTGACAACAATATACGCCTGCTTTTTCTCCACTCTTGGTCCACTTTCAATATAGGCAACATCTTCAATCTAAAGAAAACAACACCCATCCAAGGCACAGAGCTTAAATAATAAAATAACAATTAACAATAGCTTCAAACAGGATGCTACCAACAGAATAGCAGCATATCTTACCAGAGGAGAGAAACGTGATAACACTGCTCCCAAATCCTCTCCTTCATTGCCCATGGACATGGCTGTACACTGTTCAGGAACACAAAAGATCATAACTGATTATATTTGACAAAAAGATAACCAAACATACATTCTCATGCAACCAACATTATCTGCTTTACCAAAAACATTGCAGACAAAAAATCCTCAAGAAATCAACGTCACATTTTTATAAAAAAAACATGAAGTTGCTACCAAAATACCCTGTCCAAAGCTCCAAAAAAAAAAAAAAAAAAAAACCTGTCCAAAGCTGGTTTAGACTTCTCACAAAGTAACAAAGAATTTTATCGAACTTTCTTGAAGCCAAGCTTCAGGTAAACAACAGAAGACCCATTCAAGTTGCTTATTATGCACCCTAGTTTTCCAAACATGCATGTGACAGTGGACTGGCTCAACTCCATAATAATCAAGTGTCACAGAAGATATCAAATAGAAAAAACTCAAAAAGTAGTGAAAACCAGCATCTACCTAAAATTTTCCACGCTTGCTCTTTTTTTTGTTTTGCGTTAAAATTGATCATTCAAATAGAGACCATTTTAAGTTTTTTGATAACCGGAAAATCCCCGAGGCCAGTAGTGCATAGAAGCTCGGTGAATAATAGGCTCGTCCTTTTACCCTTCTCCACTTAAATATCATGCTTTTGTCTATGGCAGTTTTCGAACTCGTGATGTGCGCCTAACCCACTAGACCGAAGCCCTACGGGCCAATAGAAAGAGCATTTTATTTGCATGCTTTTCTTAAAACAGAAGATGGCACGATGCAATGAAAAACAAATTGAGTGTAGATACATTAAGTACCTTCACCCGATAGCCACGCTCCATCATTCGTTTAACTGTATCTGCTTTAATTTTCAAGTCTTTTTTTTCCTGCATGAGAGAGAGAGAGAGAGAGAGAGAGAGAGAGAGAGAGAGAGAGAGAGATTCAACCCCACAATTGATTTCAAGGCATCATAAAAGTAAGGACTGCAAAATTTCAAACAATTGTCAATTATATGGTGCGCTTCCATGGTTAAAGGTGGATATCATTTTAAAGTTTCTTCTTTTCAAGTATAATAAACAGCTATCAGAACGAATCACTTAGTCATTGGCAAATAGTCCGTGCAACAGCAAAAAATGAAGGCATCTGATTCAATCTGAAACCTGATAAGAAACCGACTCTCAAACCTATCTAACAGATGATTATCATATGCTCCTTTAAGGATCTGGTATCTCATTTATAAGAAAAAGCACCATCCATAGTAGTCATAAGAACTCCACTGATATCAAAATACCAAATTTTGTGCAGAGCTTCACGAAAGGCTAAGTTCTATTGTATTGTGATCATACGCAAGGCACCGGATCTGATACGTCATGGGAATGCTATAACGGAGAAAAACAAGGAATAGACTTACGATTTTCCCAACAAATCGGACTTCTTTACAATCTCCCTTCTTCAAAGTTAACTCAGACTGCAAAATATTACAAGAAAAAATCAAGTACTGAAGACAATTAACTAAAGCAGAGCCAAAAAAAAATTTGACTAATAATTGTACACTGCCCCTTTACATCTGAATTTTTTGCATGCTAATTATATCTTTTCTAAGAAGGGCATGCCAATTTTATCTGATTCTTGCTTATTCTCTCAAAGGCAAACAAAACACTACCACAATATTGAAAAGGAAAAATAGGGGTCCACAATCATTTACGCATGCGACGAGGTTACTCTATAAAAGGTCACTGTTGCACCTCCACCAGAAACAGGTACCAAGTAGCTCTATCCACCAAGGCTTGGACAGATAGAAAGAAATCACCTAGTGTTTATTGTCTCTGTTGAGAATTGAACCTGAGACCTCATGGTTCTAAATTCACTTCATTGACCACTAAGCCGCACCCTTGGGTGCGAACAACCCATAAATTTTCATGAGTAAGAACACCAAGGACTTTCAAGGTCAGATTCTATGTGATAGGGAGAGATTTTACCATTAAATTTACAAATCACTTTCTTCCTACATATATAAACATAAATCAAGTATGGAATATCATCATTAAAGATGCAGTAGCTGAACAAGCGGATCCAAGCTTCAATGCTTGAGGTCACTTGACCTAAAAGAATTAACTTGCGCCAAAAAGAATGGAGGTAGCTTAGTTGAGCTCGACTTCATCAAACTTAGTCAAGCTTTAACTAGACTTGGCAAGCTCTAAAGCTTAAACAGTTTTAAGTCACAATCAATACCACATTTATATGATATTGAAGCTAAAGAATGGCTTCAGATACAAAATAAACACCAATTGACTGATGCTAGCAACACCTCTAATACACAGGCATTATCAAGGGAGAACGTACCTTGCTTTTTTTAGCATTGTCCTTTAATTGTTGTTGATACTTCTCTTTGTGGTAGTCCATAATTTTGCAGACTGGTGGTTTGGCATTTCGTGACACCTGCAAAATCACAAAAACCAATTTAGCATACAGTATATCAGATGGAGCCACATATTATTAAATGGTCCTGCTTTATTGGGGAAACCATATACTAACACCTGTTAGACCCCTTCCCTTATTCCTTCCCTATTGATGTCGGATTGAAGCTAAAAGTGGAAGTGAAGAAGGGCACAGAGAATTGCAGAACAACGGATTAGCAACTTCAACTCTTTCCAAAGATTAGGGTCCAGCCACATCATTTGGCAAGAGAAGTTGTTAATTAGAGAGACATTTCACATCCGAAGTATCTTTACAAGCTTTCTTTTTTCCCATTTGTCCTCCCATTTGGTATAGCTTTTTTTTTTTTTTTTATAC